GCCCACCGTTCGTCAACCGAGTCTTTCAGCACATCCCTCGAGCGCCTCGCCGGCAGCCTGCGCATCTGGATCGGCAGCGCACCTGGTGAAAAGTGCGGCCTGGAGCAGGACGTCCGCCACAAGATGGTCGACCGCTGCCTCAGCATCACCAAGAGCGTCGTCGGCATGGAGACGGACACGGGCTACGGCAGTATGAGCGAGTGCGAAGAGGACGGGTGCTGACAATCTTATTCCTATGTCTAGAGGCGGTATCTCCCCTTACTACATACTAGATGCATTTATTTTTCTTTACTTGTACTTTTTACGGACTGGACATGGGTTTTGGGCGTCAACCCGGGAGGATATATGTGTCTTTTGACCTGGCGTTTCGTACGGAAGCAACGTGACGACGGCTGGAAAAGGCTGGGACCAGCGGATTTTGCATGAGCAGAGACAACGGATGTCGCTTCGGGCTGGCATTGATCCCCTCGAGGACTGTCACAATATGGAATTGGGCGAGGGATACGGTCAGGGGATATATACGTGTCGGCTGAAAAAGTTGCGATGTTTTTATTTCTCTATAATCAGTGGCCGTGGGCCGCCGCTATGTAGAATCAATATCGACATGTGTCGTTGCGGGTCTGCGCATGAGTTGTATTGTGATTTATGATGCCGGTGAGGGGCTGTCCTGTTTGAGGAGGTGCCAAAGGGTCGATGACACCCTCTGACTTGAGAGTTCGGCTGTGGTGGGAGGGCTTACAGAGGTACGCTTATGTCTGTCAATTACTCACCGCGTTGCTGACCCTGCGAAATAATAGGAGAAACTCCTGATGTGTGGTGTTTCTGTTTATTGCGTTTATACGACAACACGCACTCGTCAGCCCACGACCGCTCCCTGACGGGCTGGAGAGTGATTCACCAGCGGAGACTCGACAGCGGAGTCGAGCGGATACGGCACGGCAGTCCTCACAGGCGAGGAGTCCACATCCCCACCTTTCAAAGCTGCAGGCCCCACCCAGATAAACAACACATAGCCGTCGCTATCGGGGCCGAGCCAACTCCCTGCGTACGGCACATGACGGGCCAAAAGGGGAACACACCGGCCAGGGCTGGGTTATCAACGTCGCAGCAATGTCCTGCTCGAACGGGCTTCGCATGCCGCGCGGGCATATCGCTGTTATCTACACAGTTGACGCTGACTGAAGGCCTGCGACCGGGATGCCAACTCTGCAAACCGGGCACCTGCAGCATCGCCCTGGAACGATGTGATGCCTCTCGACGGGCGATTAGCCACGAGCTGAGCTCTTCTTCTAGTATAGCAAGACGACAACCCTGCGAACACCCGGACGCACCAGTTTACCGTGCTCCTCTCCCTGACGGCCAAATCGGAGCCCATCCTGCCGAGCGGGACATGCCCATCTTCACGACGACCTGCCCAATGATGGCAACGGGTGACCCCAATTACAACTCCCCGCACTCCCAATGGACACCACCCTTACGCACATCTCCAATCAGACGGCGACATCGCCGGCCACCATGTGACGCAAGATTGCATCTGCGCAAGGGAGCGTCCATCTCTTGTCGTGTTGACATGACCGCCCCTACCTGCTTTTATTGACCTCGCTTGCCGTTGGGGCTGCTCAACGTTGCGCCCATCAGGGCACGGGCAAATCACGGCGAGAGATGTGTCGGCATACCTTCCCCTTCCCGCGTCACCGGCATCCAGGGCCAGGAACAGCTGGCTGTAGCTGTCGAGGGGCTACGATGCTTGATGGCCGAGGTGTGCGGTCATAAAGGGCGACGGCTGCCCTGGCGTTCCCTATCGTAACTCGAGGGGCACACCGCATCGCCCGCCATGCCTCGATACTCTCGTTCCGGCCTTGAGCTGCCCCGGCGCTCGTTCTTCGCCGTCTTTGCACTCGTGTCTTTTGTGCTCCTAGCCACTGTCGCTTTCACCAAGCTCGGCGCTCAACAGGGCCCCGCGCTGAACATCCGCCGCGATGATACCTGGAAGTCGCACCTCAAGGCCAAGACGCGCGCCGCGGCGGGTGACAAGTACCTGATCGGCGCCGGCAAGGCCGACATCACGGGGCCCGTCGTCGAGATTGGGTTTGCCGGGTATGCTGATCTGGACCAGGTTGGGACTGGTCTCAGGCAGAGAATCTACAGCCGCGCCTTCATTGTCGGCGACGTGAGCAAGCCGAACGACCGGTTTGTGTATCTCGTGCTGGACACCCAGAGCGGTGACACCGCTGTGCGTAATGGCATCTTGGAGGGCGTCAAGGCTCTCGGATCTGGCTATTCCATGTACAACAAGGACAACATTGCCGTCACGGGCACCCACAGCCACGCCGGCCCGGGAGCGTGGTTCAACTACCTGCTGCCGCAAGTCACCAGCCTGGGGTTTGACAAGCAGAGCTACCAGGCCATCGTTGACGGCGCGGTGCTGTCGATCAAGAAGGCGCACGAGTCGCTGACCGAGGTATGTCGTTCACTGCCTTTCAAGACCTGACTGACGATCCAGGGCTATCTCGACGTCGGGACCACCTCGGTGACCGATGGCGCAATCAACCGCAGTCTCTGGGCGTACCTGGCCAACCCTGAAGAGGAGAGGGCCAAGTACAGCGCCAGCACCGACACTACCCTCACTCTTCTCCGCTTCCAGCGTGCCTCTGACGGCAAGAACATTGGTGTTCTCACGTGGTACCCTGTGCATGGCACTTCCATTCTCCAGAATAGCACCCACGTGGCTGGCGACAACAAGGGCGTCGCCGCATACCTCCTCGAGAAAGATCTCGCGGGCGACTCGAGCACGGCTGATGGCTTCGTCGCTGGCTTCAGCCAGGCCAACGTCGGCGACACCACCCCCAACGTCCTCGGCGCGTGGTGCGACGACGGCTCTGGCCAGCAGTGCAGTCTCGAGAACAGCACGTGCGCTGATGGCAAGAGCCAGTCATGCCACGGCAGAGGCCCGGCGTTCCAGAAGCTGGACCTGGGCATTTCCAGCTGTTATGAAATTGGCAAACGGCAGTATGCCGGCGCCAAGAGCGTCTACGTAAGTTGATTGATCCTCACACCGAACTTGGCTGACCAGACAGACCGCCCTGAGCTCTTCGTCGACCCCCGTCACCGGCACCAGCGTCAAGTCCTTCCACTTCTTCCAGGACATGTCCTACTTCAATTTCACCGCGGCAGACGGCACCAAGGGCATGACCTGCCCTGCAGCCCTCGGCTACTCCTTCGCCGCCGGCACGTCCGACGGCCCCGGAGCGTTCGACTTCACCCAGGCCGACTCGGGCACCCCTGACGCCAACCCCCTCTGGGCGGTCGTGTCCGGCCTCCTGAGAACCCCGAGCGCGGCGCAGGCCGCCTGCCAGCAGCCGAAGCCCGTCCTCCTCGATGTCGGCGAGATGAGCACCCCCTACGCCTGGAGCCCCAACATTGTCGACATCCAGATGCTCCGTGTGGGCCAGCTGGTCATCATCGTCGCGCCCGGCGAGGCCACCACCATGTCTGGCCGCCGCTGGAAGGCAGCCGTCAAGCAGGCCGCCACGTCAATCGTCGACAACGACCCGATCGTCGTCCTCGGCGGCCCTGCCAACACCTACGCGCACTACATCGCAACCCCTGAAGAGTACGCCATCCAGCGCTACGAGGGCGCGTCGACCCTCTTCGGCAAGAGCACCCTCCCGGCCTACATCAACCTCACCGTCTCCAACATCGGCTTCCTCTCCCCCTCGGCCACGTCCACGCCGCCCGCCGGCCCGTCGCCCCCGGACAACCGCGGCAACTCGCTGTCCTTCATCACCGGCGTCGTCGTGGACGGCACACCCAGCGGTCGCTCCTTCGGCTCCGTTGTCACGCAGCCGTCGTTGTCGTACTCCCGCGGCGCCGTCGTCAACGCCACCTTCCAGGCGGCCAACCCGCGGAACAACCTGCGCCTCGAGGGGACGTACGCGGCGGTGGAGCAGCTGCAGAACGGCGTGTGGACGCAGGTGAGGAACGACGAGGACTGGTTCCTGGTGTACACGTGGACGCGGACCAACTGGCTGCTCGGGTACAGCGAGGTCACCATCAGCTGGGAGACGGCCGGGGACGGCGCTGCGGCGGGGACGTATCGGATCAAGTACTATGGCGATTCGAAGCCGTTGATTGGGTCCATCACGGCGTTTGAGGGGACGTCGAATAATTTTACGTTGGTCTAAGATGCCTCCCACCATGGGTGCAGGATTACGTATTTCATAGTCAATGTCTAATTTGTGTTGTCGATTTACGCCAGTCCTATAGATAGATGTGTCGTTTGCAGTCCCTGATAAGTTGATGGATGGCGATGATCACAAAGAGTACAAAAGCCATGTGCCCACGGTGACTATCCGCGACATGAACTCACCATTGCTTCTTTGGTGCTAGGGTTCTCGCGTTTGAATGGAGGATGGATGGGTGATTGAAACAGGCCCGCTTGCTCGCTGTAAACACCCGGAACCTGTTCTTGTTTGCACCTCGAACCCGAGCCTCCTCCCATGGTGGGAGGTGAAAACTCTTCAACTCTTCCTCCTGCCTTTTTCCTTCCTTCTCTCTCCCTCTCTCTCCCTCTCTCTCCCTCTCTCTCTCTCTCTCTCTCTCTCTCTCTCTCTCTCTCTCTCTCTCTCTCTCTCTCTCTCTCTCTCTCACACACACACACACACATTTTTGATTTTTCTCGGGCCCTCCACCACCACATTTCTACCCCTCGAACTCTTGTCACCACCACATTCCTACTCCCCGCACTCTACTCTTACCTCTTCGTTTTTATTCCTCGCACTTGTATCCCTTTTCAGCACAACGCCGCAACAGACACTATGACAAGGCCGAAGCGTGAACGGGAGGAAGGCAGGGGCTCCGCCGCTGGCGAATACCCTCACGCAAAGAGACCTCGCCGCGACTCGCTGGAGGAGGCAGAAGATGACTTTGCTCGCGCCCAGGCCAGCCTGGACAGGAAGCGACGCCAGAGACAGCAGCCCACTCAGCACCGGACATCGACGATGTCAGAGGCGCATGAGTTTGCTCACGTCTCTGGGGATAGACTGCACAGGTTCCAACCATACAACGACCACCGCCACGACGTGGCGACTCACGACAGACTATCGTCGCGGCCTTCTTCAGGTCCGCATCACCGAAGCAACCAGCACCAAGCAACCAGCGATAGATCGCACAGGAGGCAACAACACAACGATCAGCGCCACGACGTGGCTGCAACGAGCGGAAGCGGCAGGCTATCGCCGCAGCCATCTTTAGGTCCGCGTCGCCCAAGTAATCAGCCTCAAGCATCCAGCGATAGACGGCACATGATTCAACATCACAACGACCATCGCCACGACGTGGCGACTCACGACAGACTGTCGTCGCGGCTCTCTTCAAGTCCGCATCGTCCAAGCAACCAGCCTCGACCCTCGCATCAGGTATATCGAGAGAGCTACGACAGCTACGGCCCGCAGCAAACTCTGGCTCGAGACCAGACACGACGACCAGATGATCGTGACCGCGAGATCAAGCCTGGACCCGGATCCAGACCCCAGAACCCAAGCAGAGGGGTCTACCACGATTTCGCCCGGGAAGGACGTGACCGCCCTGCCCCTTCCCGTTTTGACTCGCCACCCCAGACACAAGGCAGTGATAGAGACCAGCAGTCATCATACCACTCACTGACAAGAGGTGGTGGCCATAGCAGGGGTCAATCACTCCAACGCGAGCCCGATGTTACCTCAGATCGAGGTCAATCGCACCACCCACGGCGGTTCACTGGCACGTCCTTCCAGCCCCCTCAACAGATTTGCAACAAGCCGCCTTTCCACGAAAAGGTCAAGCTCAACACGGAGGACGCAGAGAAGCTCGTTACCCACGGCGGACAGTCGATCGACCCTCATGTTGAGCTCAGGTGTGGGAATTGCGGCCACAGAGGCCATCGTCTGATCGACTGCATCTGGCCAGACCTCTCGGGCCAGATCAGTGGCTGCCCATTGTGCAACACGAAGTTGCATTATTTGGATGAATGTGCTCGAGTATCGCAGCTCTCCAAGGCCCAGCTATACAATCTCCTCATCCATAGGAGAGGCAACAGGCCCGCTATCGCCTCGAGGACCCCTTGGGTTGATCTCGTCATGGAGGCCGCGACTGCTTCCATCGGGATCAAAGACCCACGAGGGGGCCCTTTTCCTTGGACCAAGGACTTCGCCAAGAGCCAGGGGCACGTCTGGTGCAAGCACGAGAACCGCTCGGGTCCCTTGTGGGAGTTCTACGATTACAGGGCGGGAAAGGAGGGAAGGATGCCTTTGCCGACCGACCCCAAGACCAAGAATTTGGAAAAGGTCTTGAGCAGCGTGGAGGAACTGCGCAGAACTGAGGTGCACCTTGGATTGGGGCAGAATGCGCTCACTCTTTAGTGGAGGTTTCCGTGGCAAGTAAATGTTGGGTTTAAGAGAACGTTATTGAGTTGCTTTACATAGTCTTCAGGCATAGGATCAAGCACTCGTTCTCTACATTCGTCATGGTATCCACTGCCATCGTTCTCGTGAAGTTATCTCCATGTAATTTTCGCGATGGCTGAGTCGTGGTTGCTGTTCACTAAAGAGATGTAGACGTTAGAGCAGCGACTTCCTCCTTTGGACCAATCGGGTACGTTCCTTACCTGCCCTATTCGGAAGGAAGCTGGCTAACCCTGGGCATACGCCTCTTTCAACCGACACTCGTCCATCAACTTTTCTCCAACGACACTCCATCACTGCCCCCATTAGCTGGTATTTGATTCAATCGCCTCCAACTGTTCCTTTAACGTCGAGAAACAGAATACGATCCATCCCACATACACAAAACATATTTCCTCCCCAGAGCGACATTAATAGACAAAATGCCTCCTCCACGCCTTCTCAGTACCGAGCTCGTCGAAGTAGCAGATTCAAATTCGGAGACGGATTGTGATAACATGTCCACTTCAAGCAGTGATTCTTGGCCTGGCATCTCCATGGCTGGGTCTGACAAAATAGACGGCGACGAACCCATTGAGCCCTCCAGTCCGAGGCCGGTGCCTAGGCTACGTGGCATCCTCAAGAGTTCCAGCTCAGGAGACTTACAGAAGGCTCAAACCAATCTCTCTGGCCAACAAACACAGTCTGAAGAAAGAGATTCACTCCGCAGCGGCCCGTTACGAAGGATGAACGCGCTCGAGGAAGAACAAAGTCGTCGGCGGAAGCGTTATCGCCATTGTCCCTATGCAGACAGCAGACGCAAGACGTCACACAATCGTGTCGAAGAAGACTTGTCGGATACTGTCGATGAAGATGAGGACACCGACGGTTGCAGAAACCGGGTCTATGTTACGAAGAAGCCCTGTCATGACCACCAATATCACCACAGCCATAACAACCTCGCCGCCCCCAACACGACTGGTCTCCAAACCCCGGCTAACGCCATATTCAATGTTGGACAGCAAGTAGGCAGCCCGCGAACTCAGCTTTATGGAAACCTTCCTTCTCTCCAACTTGACCCCAGGAGTCCTGTTGAGACCCACAATGCTGCGCATTCCCACGCACCAGCCGGCGGTCTCAATATGTACGGCGTACATCAGCACAGAAATTACTTTCCAACGACGAATCAGTACGCTGGAGGCTTTCATGGTCAGGCCCGGTACCCTTATTCGCATCGAATGCGCCTTGGTTATCCCATACCGCAGCAGGACCGGACACAGCAATCCGAAGCAAGTTGGCTCGCTGGCCTCTATAACAGCCGAGACCGGCTCAGGGACGAGTACTTTCGGTTGAAATCAAGACCCCGTGACGCCAGGGACGAGAGCTTTTTGGCCATCGTGACGGCCCAGCTGTATGTGTCATCGCTTCTCCTGACACACAGCCTGCGATACTGTACGTGAGAAGTCGGCATCCACCCACGGGTACATTGGAAGGGGGGACTGATGTGTAAGGACAGTGGTTGGCGCGCGAGCTTGCGTTGGCTGGTATTGAGTATGTTTATGATCGTGCCTTGGGGGTGAAGATTGGCTGGTTTCTCGGGGGTACAGAAGTAACGAGCATGCAATACATGATATACGACGAATGTGCTCACTTCAGTGACTTCGATGGTTCCAAGTCACAATATGTCTTCCTTGTGATTCTGACCATGCTTGAATTTACCAGTGCCTCCCTTATAACCGCATGCCCGATGCCTCAGCACTCGAGGAGACCCAAGTACCTGTTTAGAAGGCCTGGACTTGAGACCAGTGGTGGGCTCATCCGATGGTAATTGTACCGAGACACGGGCAGATATTCCTTAACAACCATTGTCATTTCCTAACCGCCCGGATAGCTTTCGAAGTTCCCGAGACAGACGTCACCGGTGGCAGTGTTTGCTCAGTAAGGGGAGGAGGGAAGGAAAGACTTGAATCGAAATGGGCTCATGTCCTATTATTACATTCTGACGGCTTCTAAAAGCTGCTCGTCCAAGTATCCAATGTGTCCAACTGAGAGGGGACGTCTCTAGGCTGGATCCTGCCTCTGTAAGACAGTGCTTGCCCCACGGATGCGGTTGCGTCTTCTTGAAAAGTTGGACAGTGGGGAAGGAAGGAGATGTCTGGGAGAGAAGTTGCAGGAAGGAGTGCAAAGAAGGAGCGTATTCAAAAGACTGCTTTCTTTTCTACTAGAACGACGTCTCTCTTCTTCTCACAACATCACATCTCTAGTTTGTCACACTTGCTTTTCGCGTCTTTTCCCCATATTGCTCGTGTATTCTCTACTGCGAGTTTCACTACCACTTCCCATTACCACCTCCCACGACGACCACCAAGATGCCTCCCAAGGACATGAAAAAGCCTGCGGCTGCGACGAAGACCTCGGCGGCGCCATCAGCTTTCACGGCAACGGAAGGTCAAAAGACCAAGAGAAAGAACGCGGACACACTTGGTTCCGTTAACAAGAAGCAGAAGACGACGAATGCTGGACAGGTCGAGACAGATTTCGAGGAGGGCGAGGCAGATGCTGGAAGAGAGGAACCAACCGGGGAAGATGGCGATGATCAGTCGGATGCTAATGAAGGTAAAGAGAACGACGATGACGACGGCAAGTGTCTGGTGCGTCCTGACAAGGCGTGGAATCTTGTCGAGCAGTCTCACATTGAGAAGCAGCCATTCAAGTCCTACAAGAAGTTCCTTACGACAGGAAGTTACGTGTCGAAGATTACCAAACAGGAGGTCGACGAGATAATCCCTCCTATAATTCCTGCTACAGAGCTTCCAGATTCGTTGTTCGACGAGTTCTGGACACGACGGGACGAGGACGACTTGCAGAAGACGTGGGCGGCTCACCCCAAACGCGATCTGTGGATGAGAATTACAAACTCAAAAAGACTCGCCAGGCTATGGAAAGTGTTCCTGCGCCTCTTTCGCAAGAGCCCGACCGAGGTCATCTCGGCCAAGTACGCGCTGCAATATCATCCGGAGCGGAAGAAGCATGCCAAGAGGGCCAAGTACGACGAGGACGTCAAAAAAGAGAAGGAAGCCTCGCCGCTGTGGAGTGGGCCCTTTATGGAGAAGCTGATCATCTTGGCACATCACCCGCTGTGGCAGGGCAAGGTCGAGTGCCTCATTATCGCCATCCAGTACGCAGTGATTGTGCGAAACAACGACTGCCGGACGTGGAAGCTCCTGAACCCGACCGGGGATGAGTTTTTCAACACCATGATCCGTTTTATCAAGCAGCACGAGGGCCAGGGCATGGAGATGCCCAAGCTTCACAAGATCGCCCGCGACGACATGCAAGAGCGTGGCTTCCCGTGTGGCTGGTTCTCTATGTTCATACAGAAGCTAGAGGGCAGGCACAAGCGACCGCCACCGAGACAGACAGAGGACAACGGTCCCTACAAGGTCTCCAATATTCATCTAAAGGACATTTTGAAGGCGCTGACGGACATGGATCACCAGGGAATGCCGCTGTTCAGGTACACGGGCGAGGGCTACGGCATGGAGGCGGGCAAATTCAAGATGCAAAACGATTTGCCGTCGAGGGACGTCATATCGGAATATCACGAGCGTAGAATACTCGTGGAGCGCCGCTGGGTGGCCTTGCAGAAGAATCTCGCGGACCGAGAAAGGCCCGTCGAGTCTTCGACGGGGCTTACGGTCAGTGGAGAGGCGACCGGCTCAAGCTCCACCCAGACCGATATCGACCAGCTGAATGAGAGGCTTCGAGTGTTGGAAGACGATAATCTTGAGTGGCAAACGAAATATCAGGAGCTGCAGCGGCATAACCCGGTCCCGTCTTCGGATGCGATGGAGGACCCGAACGACGACGAGGTATAAGAGGGCCGCGGCGGTGGCGACCGCCCACCTTCTTTGTTCGGACTTACGCCCTCTTGACTGCCAGATATGGCACGGGGTTGACCATACCTACTACTCGGGAAGCCAATATGCTTTTGTAACAATACACATTCTGTGCAATTCAACCACCTGTGTGGTGCGTAACCCGAGGAAATTGACCTTTGATTGTAACTTAAGGTACCAAAGTGATCCTCTGTATGAGAAATCCCGACTGCGTCTTCTTGGAAGTTGGCTAGTGGGGAAGGAGGTGGTTTGTAGAGGGTATGATGAGTTGTGTAAGGAGAAGGAACGAAGTAGAAGGCTCCTTCCTTTTCCCAGGTGGCAACGTTCCACCTCCATCTCTCCTCAAATTATCTCTGCCTTCCCACACCTGCGTTTGTCATCACTCCTGCATTATCTTCTGTAATTTTCACAACCGCAGCCAAAACCACCCGCCCCCCCGACCAAGATGCCGCCAGAGTCCGATTCAGTGGAAAGGACAACGGCTTCACGGCCTCAGGCTGCGACTGCGGCTTTGGTACCTACCGCGACTGCGGCCGGAGCAGAGAGAGAAGAAATGAACGGTCGACGGACTGTTGGAAGGAAGAGAGAGGGCAGCGGATCGTCATCAATGAGAACGGCTAAGCAGCAGAAGATGAGCGCAGGGAATGAGACCTCCGCAGTTCAGGCAGGTGCGGTCAGTGATGCAGATGGTGCAAACGACTCTGGGTTATCTGTGTATGAGACAGTCTCTGCAGTTGCCATGGCTCCGGTGAGCGGAGATCAGGAGCGATCCTCGACAGAGGTGAGGGTGCCTGGAGGCAATCAGGCCGAAGGCAGTCGCAGGACAGAGATCGAGGTCTCTGGAATCCTCAAGAGGTTTGAAGACGCGCTGAAGAGGGCAGAGGAGACGCCAGACAAGGTTATGAACGTCCAGAAGAAGCTGGACTTGGCCGAGCACGATGCCAAGACCGCCGGCATTCGAGCCGACGAGGCGACCAAACGCGAGACTCGGAATCGGGCGGAACACGCCAAGCTCCTACAGGAGTCGGACGAGAAGAACAAGAAGCTGTCCAAGGAACACGAGAAGCTCCAGGCAGAGTATAAGGCGATGGAGAAGCACGCGCATAAACTGTATATGGAGAACACTAGCAGCATGGTCGCCAACCAGACACTCAATGAGGTCGTGCAGAGGCTGCCTATTGCCGAAGAGGAATTGAAGAAGGCGACGACGGAGAAGGCAGATCTCGCCCAGAAGTTGCGCCAAGCCGAGGCAGCACTGAAGAAGGCGCGCGAGCAGGCTGAGACGGATTCCGAGAAGGCGGCCTCTGCAGCGAGATTGCGCGAGCATCAGCTAAAGCTGGAGGCTTCAAATCTCAAGGATAAGCTGGAAGCAGAAAAGAGCGGACAAGAGACCTTGAAAGAGTGCGCGGGAAAGAAGATTGAAAGTCTCACTCGGTCCAAAATACACGCCGAGGGAGAGAAGACACGAGTCGAGCTCGCCGCCAAAACCAACGCCGAAAGGATGGAACTGCAGCTCGCCCAGGAGAAGCGCCAGAAGAACACGGCGCTGGAGGACGCCAAGCGGGCGAACGAGGCCCTGGAGTCCGAGCGGCAACGAGTGATCGAGCTCGAAGGCGACTTGGGGTCGCGTGACGCGGCGGTAGACGACCTGCAGAAGAAGCTCGAAGCGGAGAGGCAGCAGTCCAGGGATCGCCAGACTGCTTTCGAGAAGGCGTCAGCGGACGTGACGGCGCGGGACAACAAGATCACGAGGCTCAGGGACGAGCTGCAGGAGGCGACCACGGCCGCGGACGATGCGACGAGGAACGCAGACGACCGCGTGCAGGCGGCCGAGACCGCGTCGCGGCAGAGCGTGAAGGAGGTCGAGGACAGGCTGGCCGATGTGTCGAGGCAGCACAGCGCGAGCCTCCAGAAGCACATGGACGAGCTGAAGGGCAAGATGGATGACGAAACCAGCCGTGCCGTGGCCCTCGAAACCCAGCTGAGCGAGCTGCGACAGCAGGGCGCCGCGTCTGAGAGGAGGTGGACCGAGTTTCTGCGCGACGACGGCGAGAAGAACCTGTACATGTCGTTCTTCAAGACGGTCCGCGAGTGTGAGCTAGCGTGCACGGCGACCGCCCACGACCCGTGGCTCGTCCACACGACGTGGACCGACACCGCAGTGGAGATGGACTACCCCGGGCTGGCGCTGCCCGAGGTGATGCTCGCCGTCCTGTCCGCCGTGCAGAGCGAGGCGCCCTGGAAGCCGGACTGCTTCGCCGGTCTGATGCGGCGGCTGGCCGAGTGTCTGGGGGAGGCCCCCGCCGTGTATCCCGCGGTCATGAGGCTGCTCGTGCAGGCGTGCCGCGAACGGGTCGAGACGTCGTCGCCCGAAAGCCGCCGACTGGCGCACCAGGCCCAGATCACCGCCGTGTGCGACGTGCTGTCGGCGCGCTGGGCAGAGCTCGGGGACCTTGCACCCAGCCAGGTCTCGCCGCTGGCGATGCTGGAGCGGGCGTTCGTGGGGGGCACCCGGCCGGAGCCCGGTGGCAGCGAGTGGTCCACGGCGCAGGCGTCGCGGGGCGACGAGACGCTGTGCCTGGTCAAGAGCAAGAGCTGGGACGTGGCCCTCGTCTGGCTCAAGGGCACGCGGAAGATGTGGTTCATAGACGTCAGCTGCCTCGACATGGCGGGCATCCGCGTCGCAGTAGGCGCCCCGACGGGGGTAGAGTCGTTCCAGCTGAGGCTGGCAGACAAGGAGGTCATGATGTTCGTGTTTGCTGCCCACTGGAGGATTCGCGGGATGGGTGGTGTGTAGATTTGCCTGAATAGACTTTCGTTGCCTTCATGTATTTGCTCCGTGATATGTGATGTGCCTTGAATGAAGCTGCTGCTGAAAAGCTGGTCAGATTCCACGTGTGCATTTCAATTCAACTAAGCTGTCATGTGAAATGCATAGATGCCCAGGGGGGGAGGGGGGGTTTACAGGCCGGGCGGTGTCCACCCACACGTGCAATCCAAACACATCGTCGTCGCTATCATTACTATCATTATTATTGCTATTATCGTCACCGTCGTTAAAGTTATCGTCTATCGTCGTCTCTGTCGTCGTCGTCTGTGTTGTCGTCTGCATCGCTCCCCCTTTCGTTTTCTCTGCTACCATCGTCCTTATGAGGGTTTTGGGTACGTTGATTGAAGTTATGGTGAACAATACCAGGCTAGAAAAACTCCTTTGTATTATATGTAAGGTAGCAAAGGACATCTTCCTGCTTCACAAGAAACCCGAATCTTGTACCGTGGCACGCGAAGGTGGTGTCCTCGCACTGTGCCTCGTCTGGAATGAGTAAGATTCCAGTCGACAAGCTGCGCGTGAATGGTGCTACCGTAGATGATAAGAAAAGGTCTCAAGTCATACTCGACACTAATTCTTAGATCCATCAGCAAAACTCGAATAAACACTGTGTTTTCAGCATGATGGCCTCAAGTCGATGAGATGCAGTCGGAGACCTGGAAGGTCCAAATCCGAAGGACCCATAATTCAACACCAACGGCCAATCGCGTGTAATGCTTTCTGCGTTCTAGCGGACGCATCCCGCTGAGCGCAACACTCAAACTTTACACCAACCACATCAGACCTCGACACAGAGAACCACGTCAACTTACGGGTTTGAACATTCGTAACACCAACTACTCTTGTCGCAACATATGTCAATCGCCCGCAGGACACTTTCGACGCAGTCGTTGTATGATAGTCTTCATGGCCAGCTGGGTCTTAGTCGTTCTAAGCTTTCTCTCGTATAGAGTAATCGATTTTGTCTCTTCGAATACCAGCATTTCAGTAAGTTCATTCTTGGCAGGTAAGAATCGAGGAGCTGTAACACCCCGCATCATTTTTCATCGCTAACAGACATATCTAAGGCCGAACGCTTCATTTTTGCCGCCTCCCGCGTACGCCCAACCATTCAATATTCAACAATGCCATCGTCTAGTCCTCACCAATCCGGCGCACTCCCACACCCCCCACCGACTGCGAGCTGCGCTGCCTTGTGCATCTTCAACGTCCCCAGTGGCCTCACGCCAGGCTTCTTCCCACGGTGGCCCTTGAAGTTAATCTTCTTATCTAGCTGCTCAAACGGGCTGCTCCCCGCCTCGCCCTTCTTCACCATCCATTTTGCGGTCCCCAACGCGGCGTCAAGCTCCTCGACGGGCGGCAGCTTCAAGTATATCATGCCGTCCGGACGCTCTTCCACCGGGAACGTCGCGATGCTGAGCTCTGCGTCCGTCTTGCAGTCGCCGTTGGCCAGGTCAAAGTTGCGCTTGTGGTACGGACACGACACCCACGGCGCGGACCGCTTGGCGTCGCCGTTGGTGCTGCATCCCGAGTCGGGCTTCTTCGCGTCGCTGCACGTGTCGGTCCCGAGATCCTCGCCGATGAGGCCGTCCGAAAGCACAAAGGCGCGCTTGTGCGGGCACATTTGCTGTGTGGCGTAGTACCTACCGCGGATCCGCCAGATGGCCAGCTGCGTGTCTCCCCGCTTGACGGTCGCAGAGATGCCGTTGGGCGTCTCGTCGGCGCCAAAGAAGTGACTCGCTGGAAGCATCGGCTGCCACGCCATGCTGCTCCACCTGCTGATGAGGCCCTTGAAGTCTTCCTTGGCCGAGTCCTTGGCCCAGTACACCGGGCGGGGCTGGTCGCGGTCGAGCTCGACCTCCATATTCTCGAGCGTCTCCTCGGTGTTGTTGAACTGCTTGAACTTGGCGGCGATTTGGGGGTTCTTGATCGCCTCGGCCCACTCGTCAAAGAAGCTGTCGACGAGCTCCTGCATCTGTGCTTCGAGAGAGGCGCAGATGCCCAGCTTGTCTTCGAGGACGACCTCCTGCAGGTACTTGATGCCGCCCGGGAGATTCTCCAACCAGCGGGCGGTTCGCTGGAGTTTGTCGCCGGTGCGGATATAGAACATGAGGTATCTGTCGATGATGGGGATGACCTCGGATGGGGG